CCACTCAGATTGTGGTACTTTGTTACAGCAGCACTAGGAAATATAGACCCCAAAGAACTACAGCATCAGTAAAAGGGTGAGTAGAGATTAGCCTGCTACCATGGCCAAAGGTACAAAAAAGTAAAATGCCCATTCTCTGGCCACAGCAGCAGGTAGAAAGGAAACAGTATTTCCCCCTGAAAACCTATAACCACTAGCCTGCCTTCACATAAGTGTGCAGCCCATATTTACACTACCTAGGTGGTTAAAATTTTAAAATCTCAACAATTTACTTAGTGGTCCAAAATTGGTAGTATCCCTAGACTCCTAGCAAAAGCAAATGCAAATCCTCTTTGGAGGAACTCACCTTTACCCAGGCATTAAAGATTTTCCACAGATAAAGTTCTAAGGAATATAAGCTCACAGTGAAAAAAAAAATTACTAAACACATAATGCACCTTGATTGAGAGCCAAGAGAAACAAGAGACAGCTGAATTGTCCTTCAAAAGTAGTTTATTTATTTATTTATTTGAGACAGAGTCTCACTTTGTTGCCCAGGCTAGAGTGAGTGCCATGGCATCAGCCTAGCTCACAGTAACTCAAACTCTTGGGCTCAAGCGATCCTACTGCCTCAGCCTCCCAAGTAGCTGGGACTACAGGCATGCACCACCATACCCAGCTAATTTTTTCTATATACATTAGTTGGCCAATTAATTTCTTTCTATTTATAGTAGAGACGGGGTCTTGCTCTTGGCTCAGGCTGGTTTCGAACTCCTGACCTCGAGCAATCCACCTGCCTCAGCCTCCCAGAGTGCTAGGATTACAGGCGTGAGCCACCGCGCCCGGCCCAAAAGTAGTTTAGATGCTAGAATTATCGGGTACACATAATAACATAATTACATTTAATATGTTTAAAAGAATAAAAATGAATTTAAAATATGTAGAGGAACAGACATCATATGTAGAGGAACAGACAAAATATGGCCAGTTTTGAAACAGAGCTAAATAGCATTTCTAAAATATAATGATTAAAATTTAAAAATCAATGGATATGTCCAGCAGCTGATTAGATATGGCTGAGGAAAGATGCAGAAAATTATCCACAATGTAGCAGTGACAGAAAAAGAAATCAGAGATAAGAAATGAAGAGATGTAAACGACAGAGTAAGAACATCTCAGATATGTCTAATGAGACTACTTGAAGAACAAGGGGGAGGGGATAAGGTGCAGAAGCAAAACTATTAATGGCCAATAAATTTGAAAAATTACTGAATTGAATTAAGTCCTAAATAATATTGACCCAAGAAGATAGAGGAACTCTATAATCATTAAAGAAATTCAATCAGTAATTTAAAATCTTCCCATAGAAAAAGCACCTGGCCCTGATGAGTTTACTGGCAAGTCCTACTAACCATTTAAGAAAGAAATCTGGCAGGGCGAGGTGGCTCACACCTGTAATCCTAGCTCTCTGGGAGGCCGAGGCAGGAGGATTGCTCAAGGTCAGGTGTTCAAAACCAGCCTGAGCAAAAGCGAGACCCCCGTCTCTACTAAAAATAGAAAGAAATTAATTGGCCAACTAAAAATATATAGAAAAAATTAGCCGGGCATGGTGGTGCATGCCTGTAGTCCCAGCTACTCAGGAGGCTGAGGCAGAAGGAGCACTTGATCCCAGGAGTTTTAGGTTGCTATGAGTTAGGCTGACACCATGGCACTCTAGCCAGGGCAACAGAGTGAGACTCTGTCTCAAAAAGAAAGAAAGAATGAAAAAAAGAAATCCAATTACACAAACTATTCCAGAGTACAGAAAAACATGAAACACCCCCAACTGAGTTATGAGGCACAATCTTGATATCAAAACCACACAAGGATAACATAGCCAATACAACTTACAAACATAACTTTAAAAAAAAAAGAAAAATTAACTGGGCATCATGGCACACGCCTGTAGTATCAAGCTACTCAGGAGGATGAGGAAAAAGGATCACTTGAACCTGGCAGTTTGAGTGAACTACGATGACACTACTGCACTGTACCCAAGGCGACAGAGTGAGACTCTGTCTCAAAAAAAAGAAAAAAACAACCCAAATATTAGAATATCAAATAATCAAATCCAGGACTGTTTTAAAACTACAAAAAACAAAAACAAGTTTATGACCCCATTGGGTTTACTCGGGAAGGCAAGGTTGGTTTAACAGTGAAATTAATTGATACAATCTACCACTTAGACTAAAGGCCAAAAAATATATATTATCTCAATGGAGGCATTAGATAAAATATACGTATCATTCATTACAAAAACTCTCAGCAAACTATCACTTTAGAGTGATAAAGTCTATCTCTGAAAACCCTGTAGCAAGCACAATACTTTATGGGAAAATGTTGAAGTATTCCTTTTGAACTCAGGAACGAGGCAAGAGTGTCCGCCTTTGCCACTTTTAGTCATCATGCACTGGGGATCCCAACTTGGAATAATACGGGGGAATAAAAAAGAATAATGACTAGAAAGATACAACCCTGCACTATTCTCAGATGACATGACTATTTATTCTGGAAAAGCCAAAAGAATCTACAGTTCAGCAAGTTTGCATTATTTTAACAAGTAGTTGGAAGATGAAAATTTTATTAAGATACCAAATACACTGGCATCAACAAATATCAAATAACTGGGAATAAATCTAACAAATGATGTGTATGACATTTATAGCAAAAATCATAAAATTTTATTGAAAGTCATTAAAGAAGACCTAAATAAATAGAGATGGATACCATATCTATGGATTGCAACAAACAAATTAGGAACATGAATTTTCTATTGTTCCATACATTTCAAGCTATTCCAATCAAAATTCCAAAAGATTTGTGTATGTGTGTGGTAACACATAATTTTAAGCTAATTCTAAACATGTATGTGGAAGAGGAAAAGCACTCTTTGAAGGCACTTTTGAAGAAGAATAAGATAGGAGAATTCGCCACACCAGATAACAAAACTTTTCCTAAAACTTTGGTTATTAACACAATATGGTATTGGTGCAGGACTAGACAAATTGTTCAGTGCTACAGAATGAAGCACCAGGAAAGGGGCCCACACATTACAGAAACTAAATTTATGACAGGGCTGTGCACTGCAGATCTAAAGAGAAAAGAGGAACTTTCTAATAAATGGTACTGGGACAATTAGTTTTTCCTACAGAAAAAAAAGAAAAAATTGGGGGCTGCTGTTTCATATCATATACAAAAATAAATTCAAATGGATTAAGAAATTAAATTCATGTAGCAAAACTATAAAACTGCTGGGAGCAATATAGAAAAATACTTTCATAATTTCAGAGAGGGAAAGTATTCCCAGGGCACAAAAAGCACAAACTATCACTGAAAAAAGTGGATACCTCTATTACAAAAATATTAAAAACTTGTTCATCAAAATACACCATAAAGAAAATGAAAAAATAAACCACAGACTGGGAGAAGACATTTGTAACACGCAAATGACAGAGTAGCATCCAGAAGATTTGAAGAATTCCTACAAATCAGTAAGATAAAGACAAGAAAAAAACTGGCAAGACTTGAACAGGCACTTCACAGAAGAGAGAACATGAATGGTTGATAAACATATGAAAAGATGCTCAGTCTCATTAGTATTCAGGGAAACGCAAATTAAAACCATAATGAGATTCCACTTTGTAGCCACCAGACTGGCAAAAATTCTACAGTGTGACAATATCAAGTGATGGTAAAGATTCGGTGCAAATGAAATCATAGCCCCTGCTGAAGGAAAACCATTTGGAGAACAATTTAGGAAGAAAAAACAGTGGGGCACTTGCCAGGCCAGATATCAAGAATTTTTATGAAGCTATGGTAACTAAGACAGTGTGGTACTGGTCCAGGGTCAGGCACACTGATCAGTGGTACTGAAAAAAAAAGCCCAAACACAGATCCACTCATCTATGGGCTTAATTTATATTATTTGGTTAAGTGAAAGATGCAGATACCTTCTGCCTCAGCCACACCAGTCCTAAAGAAATCCATGCACAGGTGCACTGGAAAAAACATATACAAAAATGTTCACTACAGCACTCTTTCGAAGGGAGAGCATAAGGGAAAAAAGAAAAATCCAGAAACAACCCAAATGTGGATAAAGAGTTCAATGGATAAGTAAATTGTGGTATATGCATACAATGCAAGTAATGTTCTAGTTCTTAAACTGGGTGATAAGTGAATGAGTATTCATTGTATCATTATCCATTATCCCCTAACCATTTTTTATTTATAAACAGTCTTCTTTATTGGCTCAATAATTACTTTTTACAAATCAAAGACAGCCCAGAAATGGAGACCAAATAAGATGTTAGAACACCAAAGTGTTTCCTTCTGTGTTTCCCTTACCTTAGGCTGTTCTTAGATGAACACACCTCATCTTAGTGGCAGTGAGAACAGCTACCATGAGTGTGGTAGGCTGAGTAATGGCCCCCAAAGATATCCAGGTCCTAATTTCTAGAACCTGTGAATGTTACCTTATAAGGCACAAAGGACTTTGCAGATGTGATTAAACCAAAGATTTTGAGATGGGGATATTATCCTGGATTATTTAAGTGGGCCCTATTTAATTTTTGATTAAATATAATCACAAGGGGCCTAAAAGGAAGAAAGAGGGAGATATGAAGACACAAGAAAAGGCGATGTGATCATGGAAGCAGAGACTGGAGTGATGCAGACCCAAATCAATGAATGCCTATAGCCAGTCACGAGTCAAGGAATGCCAATAGCCACCAGAAGTTGGAAGAAGCAAGGAATGGAGTCTCCCCTGGAACTTCCAGAAAGAACCGGCCCTGCCAACACCTTGATTTTAGCCCCATAAGATTCATTTCAGACTTCTGACCTCCAGAACAGCAAGAGAATATATTTCTGTTGTTTTAAGCTACTAAATTGGTGGTTATCTGTTACACCAATAGTAGACTAATACAGTGTATAAAGAGGCTCAACCTCACTCAACTCTGTCTCAGATGATTTTCCACTTAGCATACCTTCTCCTCTGCCTTCTCCTCTCTCCCAATGTTGGATGCCACAGTGTCCCCCATGTAGGGAGACACAGTATGGTTTAGTCCCTTCATATATCAGATGCACCACTTACTTCCCCTGCTGAAAGGGCTCTTCCCTACAATTTCCAACCAGAGCCAGACAAGTCATTCACACACACCCATGAAAGTCCACCCAGTGTAATAGCACTGGCCAGTGAGAGGACACTCCCACTGGACCAGCTATGTGGACCTCCTCAACAGTCATTCATCTTTAATATCCCTGGCCCAGCGTAGTGCCTGGCATGCAGCAAATGGTTAAAAATGGGCAATGAAATCAATGAATAAATCAATGAAGCAAAGAATCAATCAATCCTGAGTAAGGATGGAAATCCTAACCACCAAAAGAAATCTTTTCAATAAACATCTTCTCTCTTTCTCTACCACTATGAGAAAGATTAAAAACAACACAAATTTTAGGGTTGGAAGCCAGGAGCTAGTGCCTCAAAGGCAGCCCAGGCACTGTCAGTGCCAATTACTGGAAACCTTTTCTTTCTATCAACCACAATTGTCTCTGCGCACCCTCTAGTCCTAGTCTATATCTTAACTATTACAAAACAACAACGCTTCTAAATATTAGCCAATCATATAAAAATTAATCCTATAGGCGCAGACCTAAAGGCCTTAAGCCTTGCCTAGCCAAACCATTTGATTATAGAAAAACTGAATCATCTAATTCTGCTGATCCCCTTCCTCCTTGTCTGTCAAACAAGAGCATGAAATCACAAGGTTCCTTGCATCTCTGGTGCAATGTGAGAAGCAATACCTTCTTGGTGTTCAATCTCAAACCAATTTTAACCAACCCCCAAATAATCCCCTGGTCCATTTTCATTTCATACTTTTTTTCTCCTCAGAAGTGCTTCTTTCAATGGGCCTGTCCCTGCCTGTTGTTATATTTTCAATTTTTGAATTTGTTTATCATTTTATTTATTTATTTAAAGACAGTGGTCTTCGCTCTGATTGGCTCAGGTGGAAAGTAACAGTGGCAAAGAGTGCATAAGCCTCAACTTTAAACTTTTGAACTCCTGGCTCAAGTGTCCATCTGCCTCAAGCCTCAAGAAAAAGCAAGGAAATATATATAGGCACATGTTACCATGTCCCACCTAAGTTTGAAATATATTATACACCAGTTCTCACAATATATTATTGGTCTTAACAAGTCTCAAACTCCTTGCCTCAAGTGACTCTCCTACCTCGGTCTCCCAGAGTGCTAAGATTACAGGGGTGAAGCCACCATACCAGTCAGATAAGTCTTTTTAAAATGGAGAAAGGAGTAAAATTGCAGCACTTTGGTTGAAAAAGCGGGGCGGAGGCGGAGATTCTTCGAGCTCCTGTGAGTTGAAGATAGATCTGAGCAAGGAGCAGATTTCTATCCTACTAAAAACAGAAAAATTAGCTTAGATTATGCGTGGTGTGGACCTATAGTCCCAGCTACTTGGGAGGCTGAGCCAGTGAGGATTGCTTGAGCCTGGAGTGAGAGCGCAGTGAGCTATGATGACACCCCTGAACTTCACAGGGCAACAGAGCAAGACTCTGTCGAAGAAGAAAAGAAAAGAAAAGAAAGAAAGGAAAGAAAGAAAAGACAAGACAAGGACAGACTTATTCATCTTAAGTTGTAGTTACTATCATATAAATAATATAATATAATTATTAATATATAATTATTACTTTACTGATATTTATTATTGGAGACTATCTTGTTATGCGCTTGGTACCAGGGTTGTTTCCTTATGTATTTTGTAATTTTAAAGTGTGAATTAATGGTTTTAAGAGCTAATTCTATATGATACGTATTGAAGATTCTTAGAGAAACTGGAATAATTTCTGCCAGATCCACCAAGGGTAACAGAATGGCTGTGTTTTAAGCTAAATTTCCATGTAGTCTGTCATTGCAGCTGGTATAGGACTAGCCTGGTATAGTATAGGACACCCTTTCTAAATGATTCCCTCTCTATTCCTGGCAAATTTCCTTCCTTATTTAAAAGCTCAGCTATATTTTAAGGAGATCGATTGCTGTTATATTTTACCCAAAATTTTTAAAATTCAATTTATTAAGGGAGGATTTCAGACCATTTAGTTTTCTATATTTCCAGAAACAGAAATCAAAGCTTTCATTTTACACATGAAAAAAATCAAGGTTTAGAGAGGTTAAATTACTTGCCACCGTCAAAAATCAAGTTTCTATAAAACTGAGGTTTAAAAACTTGATCTTCTAACCCTAAAGAGAATACTAAGTCATTATTCTTTTAACAGACATTTCCCAAACATCTACTATGCGCTTAGAACTGCTCTAGGCATGGGGGAAATAGCTGTGAATGAGATAAAGTCTCAAAAGTCATGGAAGTCAAATCCTAGTGGGTATATATGAACCAGTAGACAAATGAATTAAAAGGGTCATTACAGGGAGTGATATGGGGATAGAGAGTGACAGGAGGGGTAGATTTTGGAGAAGGTGGGCAGAAAAGGCCCCTCCTGAAGGGGTGACATGTGAGCAGAGAGACCTAAATAGAAAGGGGGGAAGGGCATGGACGGTCTGGGGGAGTGTGTTGTGGGCAGAGGAAACAGCGCGTGCAAAGGCCACTGGTGGGACAAGTGTGGCACCTTCCAGGAACAGTGAGAAAGGGGAGAGCGGTACAAGGTGAGATCAGAGTGTGGGCAGGGGCCAGACCTTGTTGAGTCTTGTTGACCATGGTAAGGAGCTTGAGTTTTATTCTTCTTGGAATGGGACACTGTTTAAACAGCAGGGGAAAGAGATGGCCTATCTTACATTTTAAACAAATTATTGGAGTGACAGGAGTAGGGGCAGGGAAAACTGTTAGGAGGGCTTTGAGACGAAACAGGTGAGAGTAGTTTGGGGTTGCAGCAGGGTGGCGGCAGTGGAGGTGGGAGTTGTGATTGGACGGAGAGTTTTGAAGGCAGAGGACTTGCTGATAAAGTGGGTTCCACCGCACACAGGGTCTGGCCTAAAGTGTGCACAGACCCTGCTGGATTCGGTGACTCCCTCAGGAGGGACACATGTGGACTTGTGATTCTCAGCCTCATGTGCTCATGAGAAAAAGTCTCATATGAAATCCACTGTGAGTCCCCAGCACCAGCCGGATGTGTCCGCTGGCCTTTCTCCAGGCAGGTTGTCTCCCACCCTCGGTGGAGTAGCACGGCCCATTCCGCCCAATATTCTGTCTGACAGGCATTGCCTAGGCAGTCTAAACCCCAGTTGTGACAACACTAAACTCCACACTGGGAATAATTAGGAAGCCCATCTGTGAAAGGTTCTCAGTTGGGGACTGGGTTGCTGGAGTCCAATCACGCCATTCAGAACTCATAAAAAGTTAGGGTTAAGGCCTCTCAGAGCCAGAAAGCATGAACCACGGTCTAGCACAAATGGATGATTTGGGATCAAATCCCAGGTCTACAGCAAATAATGGGAAACTCAGGCAAGTCCGTTTCTTTTCGTTTCGCAGGGGAGATCATGGTACCCTGTCTCCTGACTCAGCACGAGCTTTATGTGAATCTTGTTAAATTACAGATTCACCAGGTCCTGGGCAGGGCCAGGGATTCTGCATTCCTGACTACTCCAGCAATGCTGAGGCTGCTGGTGCGTAGATCACACTCTGAGGAGTGAGGTCCTAACTCATTCACTACCTAACATGCACTCATTGGGCACCTACTGCGAATGAGGATCTATGAGAGAGACAGAGAAGCAGACCGGGTCCTTAAAGGGAGGTCAACAAACCACCATAGCACAAGTACAAAGTGGCAATGCCATTCTGGAGACCCAGAGGACAGAAATCTTTCTTCAGTTAGGGGACCTAAGGGAGGCTTGATGGTGGGAGATGCGTGGGGACACATATGGAGAACATAATGGAAATCAGAGGGCACCTTCCAAAGCTTTAGCCTTTATCATCACTAGTTTCTCCTCAAACTTAAGACCTAATTTTTTTTGGCTCACAAACAGAATAAAGGGAATAAAAGGGGAATAAAAGAGATTACTTTCTAGTATAAAGAGGTGAAAGAGTAGTATGTTAGGACTGGGAGAGTCCAGTGGCAAAAGGAAAAAAAAAATCCCATCTTATACCAAAGACATCTCTAGGTTTACAAGGCTGGTTAGGAGTCATTCTTGCAACATGTATGGTGGTCATTAGGGCTGTTCCTGGTAGGAGTGTAAGTCGCCATCCACTTAAACTCAGATGTGGCCAATGAAATGTCAGCAGAAATGGCACGCTGTCACTTCCAGGTGGAGGTACTTAAGAGCCCATGTGGGACTCCATTTTCCTCCCCCTACCACAGTGAATCCTGATGTCTGGCATCGACATGATGCCACCCTAAGACAAAGGTGACTCAGTCAGCCTGGGTCTGAGTAACTGTGATGAGCAGAGTGCCCCTGCCAACCCACAGTGAACAGGCAGCACAAAGCAAGAAATACACCTCCATCGTCTCAAGCCACTGGAATCTGGGAGTCGTTGCTGCAGCACATCCCAGAACATCCTAACCACCTCGACAGATATTTCATTAGTATAAGCACCATTTAAAGTTTTCATTCTAGGATATGGGACAGCTCATGGTATCAAAGAAGTAGCTGTAGGAACTGGGGCCTGAGTAACGAGAACCAAGACTCCTTGTGCCAGCCTCTTTCTCTTGGCCCATGTCTGGTCTCTATCTTGGCTTTGTTGTATTCTCCAAGTGCCAGGGTGTTTAGCCACCAGCAGCCCCAACTTCACATCTTTCCAACTCTGGGCCCCATGGGCAAAGCTATTCTCCCTCAGCTCCAAATCAAGAAACCCTAGGGAAGGAGCTGGTGGCTCAGTTTGGGTCACATGCCCACCTCTGGACCGATGTCTGTGCCCAGGGAAATGCAAATCTAGGCTTGGGTCACATGCCCACTCGCATGGCTGGCTGGAAGGAGGCAGGATGGAGTATGGCACCAGAAGGGAATGGGAAACTTGTCTTGCAGTCCAACGTACCATCCCTAATCCCCTACAAGGAGGTAGAAAGGATGTGAGAAT